GCATCGACTACCACCACTAGGGCCGTCGCATCGAGTACCTCTACTGGGGCCATCGCGTCGAGTACCTCTACTGGGGCCATCGCGTCGAGTACCTCTACTGGGGCCATCGCATCGAGTACCAGCACTGGGGTCACCAGTTCTCTGAACTCTACAACGATCGGCTTCAGTACTTCGCGTTCCACAACTACGGATACCACCAAGGCTCTGATCTCTACGACTGTCAGAGCTGGTCCTTTGAGTTCTACGACTGCTGAGGTTAGTCTCCCTAATTCTACGACTGCCACGGTTGAGTCTTCGAGATCTACCTCGACCCAGGCCGTCCTTTCGGGTTCTACTACCGGGGCCGTCCCTTCGGGTTCTACTACCGGGGCCGTCCCTTCGGGTTCTACTACCGGGGCCGTCTCTTCGGGTTCTACTACCGGGGACGTCCCTTCGGGTTCTACTACCGGGGCCGTCCCTTCGGGTTCTACTACCGGGGCCGTCACCTTATCCTCAATCAGTTCTGAGATTGTGGTCTCCACTGCCGAAGCAGCCACGACGAGTGCTGTGCCCAGCACTGAAGTAGCTTCGAGTTCAACTAGCAGTACACCTGCAAGTTTCGGAGGCAATTACTGTGGTGAACTCTATGGTGAGAGTTTCAGCGTCGACTTTGACGAGCACGGACGCGCCACTGTCAGCGTCCTAGGACAAAGCGCGGGCGCTGATTATGAAGTTGCGGGTGATGATATCGTCTTCTCCAACTACGATTCTATGCTGCAGCAGTTGATGGATATGTTCCATATCAAGAGTGTCAAAGGCACTATCCTCAATTCTACTGGAATCCATATCAAAGCAGGTTTCCTTATCGATACAACTCTCACTAGTTGTTGAAACTACCATTAATGTAGACTAAACTCCTTATCGTTTTCTCTTACGTCTCTGCGCCTGACACAGTCTCTCGACGTTTATACTGTCCTTGTAAGATGTTCTCATACTGTTGATGTTTGTTAGGCTGTGGTCATTTGACTGTTGAGTTATGTAAATGCTTTCTCTAGGTTGCTTCGTACACACTACTAGGTTACTACTAGTAGCTCTAGTGTCGAGAAACTTACCAGACACTAGAGTTTTTTCGACAGGGCTCTCATAGTTCAAAGCCTCATGTAGATGGATGCTGCCTATTGGTGCCCGAGGTACTCATGAGTCAAAGCTGGTAGCGGCACTCATTATGTGTTAAGATCTTGCCCATTGGAATCCTCAACCCAAGCTTTGATTCGGCATTGAGATCCTCCCCTGGAAGGAGGACGGACAAGCCTCCCTGGAGGTTGCACTAAAAAGGCATGCAGGAGGATTCAAACGATCATACTGATGTTCAGTCAAGGTGAGTTTCAAATCCATTTCAGAGCTTCATTCTTACTGTCAAGAAGCTCCAGAACTAAGTGGATCGGGAGGTCTAGCGAGAACACCATCATCTGGATGGCGTAGCCCTTTCCTCTTAAGAACGACATCGCATTATCCTGCTCTACATCCAATAGCGCTTCTGAGTTCGTGCGTCGAGGGCAAACGAAGGAAAGGCCCAGTTCGTGCCCGTGCGGTTCATCCAGTGTGGCTAATCTATTGAACGATTCGATAAAACGTTTCATCTGGCGCGCGGGTACTCGGGTATGTCTGTCAGCCCGATTATCTCGGGGGGCTGTTCATAATATCTCCAAAGGAGATAAAGACCATTTGATAAAAATACGGAGCAACTGTTAACCCATTTTGCTACTCGCTTCATCATATAAAGTCAGACAGCAACAAGGGAAATCAGCGTACTGCAACGAAACCAAGAGACCTTATTCAGAGACATTTAACTATTCATGTCATACACAAGACCCACTGCGACCAATGCCGAAATCTCACTGGATCTTACTCATGCATATCTCATAGATGTTGAGCTGACTGGGGACAACACCTTGACTGTACTCGGGGTCTTGATTCTCTGAGAAAGTTTCTCAGAAAAACGGTTGCTAACATACACGGCCTCTTTAGGTAGGCTTAGCTCGTTAGATAGTGAGAGAATCTTACTGGAGTCGATCGGCACAAGGATCTCTATCGTTCCATGCCAGCGAAATCTGTATTTCCCCGGAAAATGATGAGTGAGATATCTGAAAATTGAGGCAGCAATACTCCCCATAAACGCTGTGGTTCATTGTCACCAAGACCAACCGCGATGTTCTACGAGTATCCTCCCGAGGCTTTCAAACTATATGGAAGCAAGACGCTTTGAGACTACGTGCAAGTATTGTATTAGAATCGCTACCCGGATCACCGTCGGAGGGAGTCTGATGCGACTATCTTTCCAGGTATACCGGCTGTTTCGACTTGATTTGCGATGGTCACGTCAACACCAAAGATATCATAGTTGATCTTCGTTGTAGCTGTAATGACGACAAATCGGGAACAGACGCCCACGGCCCGTGGGTCCGAGACATCGTTATCCCACACCGGCAACAACCCCGAACTGAACTCACCAATAACACCGCCAATGAACTTGCCGAAGTGCAGGCCTATCCGCATTTCCAAGTCTGGCGCGGACATTTCCAGTCGAACTGCATGAAGGGCCTCCACCATTGCCTGGGCGAATGCTACCATCCTCCTAGCAGACTGTATCTGCCAATATTCCCTGGTGCCAATCAGATCAGATCAGCAAACAAGAGCTAGAGACAGCTACCAAGGAACTTGCACAGTCGATGCTCCCAGAATCGAGGGACTGTTTACTCCTATGGGGCCACTGTGGAAGATGCCGGGATCATCTAAGAATCCCCCGAAAAGGTCACCTCTATCCACAGCTACACACTAACCCTAGTGCGGCTATTCTACATAGATGCTTAGAACATGCATAGTGCGTATATCACATGGCCGTGAGCAACCATGAGAGCGATCCACGATATGAGAATGCGTCGATGATGGCGTCGATAATAACGAAACCACTCAACATACCTTATCGACGCCTTCCTTAGGCTCTGTACTCGCAACG